TTCCTAGGTCTTGTTTTCTAGCCCTTTAATCATTTTTGTTGCTCTTCTCTGGACTTTCTCCAATTTGTCCGTATCTTTCCTGAAAGGTGGCGCCCAGAACTGGACACCCTGCTCTAGCTGAGACCTCCTCAGCGCGGAGTAGAGCGGAAGGCTGGTTCTACGTTTGACGGACGTCTACAAGCCACGGTCCAGTCTCTTGGCCCAGATGACTGCGAATTGTTCGGTACTGCAGGAAAAGCCCGTGCCGCCCAGGGGGGAGGGGCATGACAAGTTAAAGCAGCGTGGGTGAGTGGTCAGGGCCCTGGATCAGCGATCTGCGTTCAAGTCTGGTGCTGGCTGAATCTTGACTCCCTCTGGGCCTCCATTTGCCATGGGAATAATGGCCCTTCCTTCCTGGGTCTTGTCTATTTAGACTGTAAGCTCTCTGGGGAGGGGCTGCCTCTTGTTATGGGTATAGCTACACTGCAGACGAAGGGGTTACTGCAGCACCGGAAGGGGGTAAGTAGCTGGCGCGCATAGCAGTGGTAGTGAGGATGGAGCTGCCCCCAGTACAAGGCCGCTGGGGGGAGTAGATACAACTCAGGAGTCCCGGGTGCTTGGCCTAGCTCTGCTGTTCCTTGGACAAGTCACGGCCTCTCTCTGTTTTCCCTTTGTCTTGTCTCGTGTAAGGCCTGTGTGGTCTAGTCCCCAGGCTCCGGGGTCCAAGCTGGGATCAGAGACCAGGTTCTGTTCCCAACTCTGCCTCCGCGCTGCTTGGTGACGCTTTTCTCTGTCTTGTCTACTTAGCCTGGAAACTCTTTGGGGCAGAGACTGTCTCTTAATTCGCCTCTCCGGGCCTCAGTTTCCCCATGTAGGAGTAGCAGGGCCGCCCAGAGGATTCAGGGGGCCTGGGGCAAAGCAATTTTAGGGGAGCAGACATAAAAAAAAGCGCCACCCGCTGCGGTGCTTGTACTCACCGGGTGGCGCTCCGAGTCTTTGGAGGCGGGTCCTTCACTCGCTCCGGATCTTCGGCGGCACTGAAGGGCCCCCCATCGCCGAAGTGCCGCCAAAGATCTGGAGCGAGTGAAGGACCCGCCGCCGAAGTCCTGGAGCGAGTGAAGGACCCGCTGCCGAAGTGCCACCAAAGACCTGGAGCGAGTGAAGGACCCGCCGCCGAAGTGCTGCCAAAGACCTGGAGCGAGTGAAGGACCCGCCGCTGAAGTGCTGCCGAAGACCTGGAGCGAGTGAAGGACCCGCCGCCGAAGTGCCGCTGAAGACCTGGAGCGAGTGAAGGACCCGCCGCCGAAGTGCCACTGAAGACCTGGAGCGAGTGAAGGACCCGCTGCCGAAGTGCTGCCGAAGACCCAGAGCGAGTGAAGGACCCGCTGCCGGAGTGCCGCTGAAGACCCGGAGCGAGTGAAGGACCCGCTGCCGAAGTGCCGCTGAAGACCCGGAGCGCCGCCAGGTGAGTAAAAATTAAAAAGGCGCCTCTAGCCAGGAAAGGGATTCTCGGCCAGGGCTCGCGGGGCCCCTGTGGGGCCCAGGGCAAATTGCCCCACTTGCCCCCCGGGTGGCCCTGAGGGGTAGTGATGCTTATCTCATTTGCAAAGACTGTGGAGATCTTCTGAGGAAAAGCACGCCATCAAAGGAGGCGAGATGAACAAGACTGGGTCTTCTCAGCTTAGAAAAGAGACGACTAAGGGGGGATAAGAGACAGGTCTATAAAATCAGGAATGGTGAGGAGAAAGTTAAGGAAGCGTTATTTACCCCTTCACGTACGACACGAACCGGGGCTCACGCAAAGCAATTCCTAGGCAGCAGGTTTAAAAGAAACATACGGAAGTACCTCTGCACACAGCGCACGGTCAACCTGTGGAACTCATTGCCAGGGGATGCTGTGAAGGTCAAAAGAATTAGATCAATTCACGGAGGATAGGTCCATCAATGGCGATTAGCCACGATGGTCAGGGACGCAACCTCATCCCTAAACCTCTGACTGCCAGAAGCTGAGACAGGACGGCGGGGGGGTGGATCACTCGATAATTGCCCTGTTCTGTTCGTTCCCTCTGAAGCACCTGGCTCCAGCCACTGTCGGAAGACAGGATACTGAGCTAGATGGACCATTGGTTTGACCCAGTGTGGCCGTTCTTATGTAAGATCTAGGTATTATTTTGCTATTCACACGTACAGCGCCTGGCACAATGGGGCCCTGATCTCAGCTGGGGCCTGTAGGGGGTGACCGTCGTCCCAATGCCTAATAAATCAAGGTGAGGGATGCAGATCACATGGGGCTAGAGGCGCTTGGGGGAGTTTCATAACATGCCTTTGCCCTTTATATAACTCTTGCCTCTTGTCTGGCAAGGGTTAAATGCCCAGGCTTGAGGTCGGTGGGTTTGCAGGACAGATGAGTCAGGCCAGAGGTAGAATCAGCTCTTGCAGCTGGTGGGTGGGGGGTGGAGGGGAAGGTGTTTGTGGTGTAAAAATCAATTGCAGCCTGGCATGGGGTAGCAGAGTGCTGTGGGTTTGGATCCCTGCTCCTCGGCTCTCTGCCCTGGATCCGAGTACAAAACCCTCCCTTGCCCGCTCTGCAGCTGCTGTGGGGCTGGGATTTGGGTGGAAGGAGGCGGGGGGGGGGGGGGGGAACTGCAGAGGGGGAAGGAAAAGGTGGGGGACGTATAACTGTGCTGGTTCACACACAAAAAGGCAGAAGATGCAGGAAGCAACGTAGTGGAGGGGGAGCTTTTGTCATCTGGCATCTTCAGGGTCCTGGTGCCGCCTGGTTCCCGTGCTGGGGGCCTTGGGAAAGGGAAGGGAGCCAGGCCAGACATGGCGTGGCTGGTGAAACCCACTCCTGCCTATCCAAGGGGACTAGTGATTTGGGGGGCCCAGGTCGAGACCCCTTAAAGGGGTAGGCGCCTTCTGAAAATCCAGCCCCTCTAAGGCGTCTCGCCTCGATCCTCCCAGAATCAAGGCGCCCCAGTTTGACTCCTCGCTGCTGGGAGTCTTGGCTGGAGACGAGAGCCTGGAGGGAGCGCTGCCCCGTGTCGCCGGAGCGATTGGTCGATAGCGACAGCGCCCTGCGGTTCCCGATGAGCACCCCCAAGGGCGTTGCGGGGAGCGGGCCTTGCACGCCGCCGGGGGCGGATCGCCAGCCCCGTTTTACCGGTGGGGGAGCTGAGACGCGGGGAGGTGGCCAGATGCATCCAGCGGGGCCCAGGACTGGCTCCCGGCCCTGTGCTTTGAAGGACACACGGGCGCTGCTTGGCTGGCGTGCCATGGCGAAGAGGAGGACTAGCTGTGACCCATTGCAGCTGAGCCCTGCGGCCTTTCGTTCCTCCCCACACCCCGACCCTTGTGTGTCTGCCGCTCAGATTCTGCCTCCTGAGATCTCAAGGGACAGCGCTGCGGGATGCGGGGAAGCTAAAATCAAACCCCGTGGGGCCTGATTCCTCTGTGACTTGGTCGGAACATAGAGAGGCAGTGTGTAGGGCTGGATGGCGCTGGGTTTTCTTCCTGGGTCTGCCTCTGACCATGGGCAAGTCCCTTGGCCGCTCTGTGCCTCAGTTTCCCCTCCCACCCTTTGCCTGTCTCTTTAGCTTGTGAGTTCTTTGGCGTCTGCCTCTCGCGGTGTGTCTGCGCAGCTTGATTGGAGCCTCTGGACACTACTATAATACGAGTAATAAACAGAGGGGTTACTCCAGATTGGCATGGTGGTAAGGGAGAGGAGAAGCCAGGCCCCTAGGGGGTCAAGTGGAGTTTCCCCAGGGATGAATTTGGCCCCTCGAAGCTCTCCACTGAGAGGTGATGCTGTGAACTCCCTGACTTCTGCCCCCAGTGGGTTCATGAATGGGCACAATCTGATGGCACTGAGTGGCCATGTCAGAGTCAAAGTATTTCTAAGGGGAGAGACGCTAGGCATCAGAGCAGCGTACGGTGACTGAGCCGTAGCACTGAAACCACAGGCCAGCGTCTTCTAACTCACGTGGTTAACGGTAGGCGGCCAGCATGGCATTTAGGGGGCTGATTTCGCCAGGGAGCCAACCCACAGCCTCTGTCATCAGCGCCTCGGCAAAGCAGGTCTCTTCCGGCCAGGTGCCCCGCCACCTGATTTTCAAAGGAGATGAATGCGCCCAATGCAACTGCCCCTCTGAAAACCAGATCCCAACTGGGGCTTCAGCCGGCCTGCCTTGCAAAGGCTGCAGGGAACAACCACACCAGCACCTAAAAGGTGCCCCCGGCCAGTGTTTGGGGGGTGGGCGTTGGAAACGGACCCGGCAAATCAAGAACAATCAAGCCAGGGAGTTGAGGGGTGCACCTGAAACCCTTCCCCCACCAAAGCTGCTATTCCCCAATTATGATAGTACCCCCCCCACCGCCCGCACACCCCTTTTTCCGACCCCTTGAAGCGCTGCCCCCAGCCTCCCTCCCCCAGATCACCAGGGAAAAGGGGAAGCCTCCGTTTAGAGCCAGGACAGGCCCGCAGGACAGCACCGCTGCTGCAGACGGGCAAGGACTCTGCCTCATGCCTTGGCCCGGAGCTAGGCTGCGAGCGAATAAGCCTTCGTGCCATGGAGGGCGGGACGGGGTCGGGGGGGCAGCCAAAGGGGGACGTGGTAACTGGCTTGGAGGGGGAAGAGCGGATCTGTCCCCCTGCGAAAGGCGCCCAGAGCACCGCCCGCACCAGAGGGGGCTGAGTCGAGTTTGTGGCTGTTTTTAATAAGTCGATGGCAGAGCTGGGGGGCTTTCGTTGTCCCGGCCCCCTCCTACTGGGGCGATTCGCTCAGTGGCTTAGGGGTTTTGCAGGGGACGCCCGGCCCTGTTGCTTCCTTGAGGCGGGGAAGAAGAGAAGGGCCTGTGTGATCTCTCTAAGACCCAGAGGGAGCCTAGGCCGGGGCGGTAGGCTGTGCTGATTGCAGAAGAGCTGGAGCCTTCGGTCTCCATCACCAGCCATTCAGGCGCAGAAAGAGAGAGGGAGGAAGAGGAGGAGGAGGAGGAGAAGGGGCGAGGGAGGGAAGCTGATCACCCGGCTGGCAATGGCCTGAGCCGATCCCTTAGGAGATCCAGCGCTCCTGCCCTGCCTGCCCGACCAGCCCTGCCTCCTCGCCACCCCGCTCCCTTTTCGCCTGCACAATGCCAGCTCTGCGGCGTAGCCCCTTCCTACACTAGGGGGGCTCTGCTGAGGATGTGAGCCGGCGGGCAGGGAGAGCCATTGTGGGGAAGAGGAGCCAGCCAGAGGAGGCCGAGCGAGGCTATGAGGTGTGGGCGACCGGAGAAGGCTCCTCGCTGAACCATGATGAAGACGGAGCCCCACGCCGCCAGCCCCGGCAACAGCAGTAGCGGCAGCCTGAGAAGCGCCTCTCCCCACAGGAACGCCTACGAAGCGGGGATCCAGGCCCTCCGAGCCACAAAGGATGCCCTTGGGGCCGCCGAGAGCGAAGAAGCCAAGAAGGCCAGGAACAAGAAGTATGGCTCCAACGTGCACCGGATCAAGAACATGTTCCTGCAGATGGGGACCGCCCCGCCGGGCGAGGGCACCTGCGACCTGGCCAAGGTGAAGGAGAAGCCCGTCCGGCTTTCCTTGCCCAGGGCCAGCAGCCTGAACGAGAACGTGGACCACAGCGCGCTGCTGAAGCTGGGGACCAGCGTGTCGGAGAGGGTGAGCCGCTTCGACTCCAAGCCCGACAAGCCGGTCTCCAAGCTCCAGGAGACCCGGAAGATCTTCGAGCGGAGCCTTCAGGAGAAGGAGACCACCAACAAGCTCCTGCTGAGGAAGGAGAGGGCCGGCTTCCAGGACAGGAAGCTGGATGTGGTGGTGAGGTTCAACGGCAGCACGGAGTCCCTGGACAAGCTGGACACGGAGGCCGTGTCGCCCACCGTCAGCCAGCTCAGTGCCGTCTTCGAGAAGGCCGACCTGAGGAACAACCTGCACAAAACCCCCAGCAAAGTTGGGCCCCTCAACTCCAAGATCGTCAGCAAGAGGTCCCGGGTCTTCCTCCAGGGTCCGGAAGGGGGCAAGGCGGAAGCCAGGGGGGGCGACGGGCCGGCTCCCCAACTGAGAGGCGACAAGGCCCAACCCAAACCGGTCGCGCCCAGGCCGGGCGAGAAGGACGCCATGGGCCCACGGGCCCAGAGCGTCCAGGAGGTGCGGAAGATTAAGCCGGTGGAGGTGGAGGAGAGCGGGGATTCGGAGCAGGAGTTCGAGGCCGCCGAGCAGGCGGAGGAGAGGGCGGCCGAGCAGGACAAGAGCAAGAGCTTGGCGTCTGGGCCCGAGAGGGCCGAGATGATCCAGGCCGAGGTGACGGTGCATGCGGCCTTGGAGAACGGCGGCCTGGCTGCGGAGAAACATGGGCAGGCCCCGGAAGTGGACGCCTACCCCGAGGAGGAGGGCAAGGCCGAGGGGCAGGAGGAGGCCGACCTGGGCGATGAGTCCAAGAAGGAGGACTTCTCGGAGGCCGACCTGGTGGACATCAGTGCATACAGTGGGCTGGGGGAGGACTCGGGGGGGAGCGGGCTGGACGAGGACGAGGAGGCCGACGGGCTGTACGAGCCCGAGTCGAGCTGCGTGGAGATCCCCGGGCTGTCGGAGGAGGAGGAGCTGGCTTCCAACCGCAAGATCCAGTTCAGCACGGCTCCCATCCAGGTAGGCCGCTGGGCGTCCCCGCGCCTCGCCAGGGTGGGGATAACGGGCCGGGCGCGCCAGCCAATGGAGCCCTCTCAGCGCCCGCAGGGAGGTGCGAAGAATTCTAGGCGGGGGTGTCATTCCCACCCTGGGGCACGTGACGAGGAAGTGTCAGAGCTGGGATCAGAACCCAGCAGTCCCTAGCATCTAGCCCCATGCGCCACCTCCCTCCCCGCCACCCGGTAGCTCCCTGCCTGGGGATTTTTCCAGATTGTCACGCCATCGCCCCCAGTTAGCATTGGGCCAGCTGGGGTGGGATGCCAATGATATTGGACTCTAGGGGTGCCAGGCTATCTGTGCCAACGTGCTGTCTGTGCGCCGGCACCCATGAAATGCAGCCACTGCTGGGGTGGCTGGACAGCATCCGTCCAGTACACACTCGTTCGGGGCTGGGGGTGGGCGAAAATATTGGTCAGGTGCAGCAGAGCCAACCCCTCGCTGGGGTGAGAAGTGCCAAGGGGCTATCAAGGGCTAGGCAGGACCGTGGGGTAGGGTGTGGGTCCCCCCGCACCCCGGTGAAGGTCTGAGCCAGCCCTGAACCGGTGATTCCAGGGGGTGTAGGTATGTGGCGTGTCTCTAGCCCATTAAGCCATCCCCATTTGGTGGAGCGAGCAGAACCCGCCTTCCTCTTCCGCTGGCAGAGCGCGGACTGGTTTCAGACACCACCTGCCCGCCCGGAGCCCAAAGCCAAGCCAGGCCTGGGCAGCTGCCGAGGCTGCTGGATTCTCCGCAGGCCGGATGAGGCTGCCCCCTGGCATTGTGGGCAGATCTGTGGCATGGGGCGGGCGGGTTGCTGGCTCGAGGAGGGGTCTGAGCAGTGTGGGGCAGGAGAACATCCTGGGTACGGGGGGAGTCTGCTGTGTACCCCAGGAGCCTGGCTTCTCTCAGGGATGGACAGCCTCAGGATAAGGATGAGATCATGAAGCTGGCGAGGAGGGTGAAGGGAGGATACCAGCTGTCTGATCCTACCTCAGGGGAGGTCTTTCCATTGGCATCTGGGTTTGCCCCCCCCCCCCGACACGCTGCTCCTCTGCCCCTTTGGGGGCCTGCGAGAAGAGGCTACAATCACCCCAGCTTCCTCTCTGGAGTTACACCCGGGGCAGCATTTGGCCCAGTGCCTGTGATTTGGGAATGGGAGCCAGGAGGACTCGCTTGGCGTGGATGGATGTGTGTGCATATCGGCCGGCGCCCTGCTCCAGTGCCCTCGCCACTGGGGTGCATAACCGACCCTCTGCACCCACCCTAGATCCAGGGGATGGGAGCCCGGGCGCTGGTGGAGCCCCCAGGAACAGGTGCATTATCACAGCAGCCACTCCCAAGCCCCCAGCTGTGGTTGTGCAGCTGATGAAGTGGTGGGGGGTTGGCCCATGGTGCGCCTGCTCCCCCACCCAAAGCTTTGCTCCTGGAGTGAGCTGGGGCTCAGAGTGTGGCTGGCGCGCGAGCCATTCCAGGCCGGGTCTGACTCTGAGGGTCTGGGAATCGGGCCGCAAGAGACTCTGGCAGGAGCCAGGCAGCGCTGTTATCCATAGGCAGCCCCAGGGGTTGAGGCGCCTGGGTGGGGAGGGAAGGCTGCGGGGCAGAGGGACCTTTTGCTAAAGCAGAGGGTTGGATGTCAGGAGAGTCGGGTTCCTTGCCCAGCTCTGCCATTGACTCGCTGGGCGATCTTGGGCGAGTCACGCCTGCTCCGTGCCTCGGTTTCCCTACTTGCAGAGCACAGGCCGTCCGGCTGACCGGGCTGCCTGCAGGGTTGGAGGCTGGGCTTGTTAACATTTGGGTGGCAGGTGCTGGAGCAGGACGCATTGCTGTCATCCTGGGGGTGTGGGCCATTGCAGGAGAGTGGGAGATTTGCCCAGTTAGAGGGACGTTAAGACTTTGCTTGTGTGGTGTGCCGTGGCCGGGAGAACTGGATGCAGATGAGCCCTGCTGGGTCTCCTTAGTGGCCTGTCGGGGTAGGAGGTGGGAGTGTGCAGCTGCTGGGCTGAGCAGCGGTGGCTGGTCTTGGCCTTGTGGGCGGTGATTTTGGATTGTGCCCCTCTTCTCCATGTGATGAGTGTCCCAGGGGTTGACTGGGCTCTTCTCCCATTGCTGGCCTTACGGGGACAGTGATCTTTGTAAAACCCCTTCTCCCAGGGTGGAGCTGCCTGAGCATCACGAATGAAAGCCCTGACTGAGATCAGGGCCCCGTTGCGCCAGGCGCTGCGCGTACAGAGTCGGAGCCCTTGCCCTCAAGAGCTCACCATCTAAACAGCCCCGACAAAGGGAAACAGACTTGCCCAAGGGTCACCCAGTAAGTCTGTGGCAAAGCCAGGTCTCCTGGGCCCCGGTCCAGTGCTCTGTCCTCTGCACTGGACTGCCTATCTCTCCACTCGCCTACAGCTGCCTCTCATCCATTGTTTGGCATGTCTCAGCATGGGATCTCTTGGGAGGAAGGGCTAGCCATTGGTCATGTCCCTGAGCTAACAGGCAGTGGTGTAGTATGTACTCCTCTTCCCCTGTGGGGTGGCCTTCGGGGGGTGGGGGATCCCCAGAGGAGAAGGAGCTCCGAGCGGTGAAGGGGTGTGGGGGCGGGGAAAGAGTGGCAGGGTGCCCGGTATCAGGGCTCTGCTGATCTCTGGACTGTCATGCCCCCCCTCTCCTGCCCGGGTGCAGCAGAAGTGAGAAAGGGGAAGTCTCACCCCCCCGTGAGATGTGCCTGCTTTATCGTCACAGCCTCTGAGCAAGCGGGACCGGCCCTCCTGGAGATTCACCCCGAGCCAGATGGGCACGGAAGAGCCTGGGATGGGGAGAGGAGGGAAGGGAGGGGCGACTGTGCCAGTGATCTGGGGCAGGATTCGGGGGTGGGGGCAGACACAGACATGGTGCCTGGGGGGGGAGGGGGACACAGAATGAGGGAGATCCCTGGCAAAGGGACGCGGGGGTCCACTGCTGTCAGTTGGCAGGGAAGTTATCGTGCTCCACATCCCCTGGAGCAGGCAGGGCCCAGCCGGGCTCCTGATTGTAGATGGACCCAGAAGCCGCCTGTGCCGGCTGACCCAGGGCAGAGGAGCAAACGGGTGTTGGGTTCAGTGCAGCCCCTTGGCTATTGCTGTCTGAGGGGCGGTAGCCAGGCCACGAGCCATTCTGAGCTGTCACCAGGGCTGGCAGGGGGGACATCAGTGCCACCGGGGGCCAGCCGAAGCACACCACCTTCCTGCCACATTGCTAATGATCCCAGTGCCGGGGCATGGCCGGGGGCTTGTGATGCCACAAAGCGGAGTGGCGATGCCCAGGGGGACGATGAACTCCGGGGGGCCGGGCCGCTATTTCTGGGCATTCGCGACTTGCTCGCACTCGTATTCCCCTTGACTGGAGGAGCAGCAGTTGCTTTGTCTCTGAGTTCGGTTATTTATAGAGCCGCGTCCCCGATTGCGTTGCTGAGTCAGTTGGATCACTTCTCTCGGCACCTGGGGCGGGCTGGGGTAGGGTCACTGGTGGGCTGCGTTTGAGGAACTGTTCTGAGAGGCCCGCTCCTCCCCGGACACCGAAGCAGCCGGGGGGTTCGGAAGAGTGCACCATGGAGGGTGCTGGGATCCTGTGACCATCTAGCCATTGGTGTCACAGCTAGAGTACTGGGAAAACCTGGCCCTTTCGGTGCCTAGATGGGCGTTGGGCCCTTTGGAAAATCAGTCTCTGGTTGTGGCGCTTAGCCCGAGGACTGTGATTGTGGGGAGTGGCCAAGTGCTGTATTTTAAAGCCTGTTGAAATTGTACCGCACAGGCAGCAGAGGGAGCTCCGGAGCACCGGGCATGTATTATGGTAGGGCCTACCTAAACGGTTAGCTGGGGTGTTTTTTTCTCATTGGCGTGGGGGGAGTGGCGCATTGCGAATCGGGAGGGCGAACTTCAGCCGATCTGGAGGGAGGACAAATTCCGGGCCTGGATTCCTTGCGATTCTCTCTCACGCTGGGAGCTGGGCTAGGCTGGACTTTCTGCCATAGCAACATGCCTCTCAAATGCGCTCCCCTGCCAGGCCCCCAGTTGGCTGGGACCCCCTAATGCATGGGCATGCCCCCCTTGGGGAATGGGAGTAAGGGGATGCATCTCCCTCCTGTCATTCCCAGACCTTCTCGCGCCTGGTAGCCCCTCCCCGCCGACTGCTTCTTTATGTCATCATCACACCAGGGGCGTCATATGTGGACACAGCACCCTAACCTCTGATCACTGAGAGCAGCAGCATAACTCCCCTTCATACCAATGAGGGAGAAGATCAGGACCCGGCTGGAAACATACAACCCAGTGGAGTTGCTATTATATATATTATGGTACTTCTAGAGGCCCCATTGTGCTAGGCCCTGTACATACCGTTCCTGCCTCAAGGCGCTTGGCAATCTAACCAGGCCAGCCCAAGGATGGGTGGGAGGCGAAACAGAGGCACAGACAGGAAATGTCTGGCCCAAGTTAGTGGCAGAGACGAGTCCTAATACGGTGCCCTGCCCACCTGCCCTCTGGTCTTTGCCCATGGCAAAGTGAATACGGACCAAGCCCCCAGCCGGCTTGTCCTGGGGGCGGCTGTCTTTTGCTGCTACTGTTATCCACGATAGCGAGCTAGATGTTAAAGCTGGTGCCTGCCCGGGCTACGATCGCGCCTTCGCTTGTGGCAAAGAAGCTCTGCCAGCCGCCGGCCCTGCAGTCCCCCACTCAAGTACTGAGCCCCCTGGCGGGGTGTGCTCCCCTCCTTAGAGCCGCCCTGCTAACGGGAGCCCCTGCCTTGGGGGCGAGAGGGCAGAGAGAATCCGGCTGCCGCTCCGATCGCGCCGCAATCAGAGTCCGCACGTTGCCCAGCGAGCCGAGATCTGGAGTGAGGAGCGTGTCCGCTTTCTGAGCGTAGCCTCGCTGTAAAACAAGCCCGGGGAGTAGGCCCTCCCCTCCTGGAGCATGGGTTCCACGCCCCGCAACCTCCGCCGTCGTCTGCTCCCAGGGGCC